TGGGGGGGGGAGAGGCTCTCAGCAGCATCACCAGTCAGCATCCTCCTCTATGTAGTAGTCAGGTGTGTTAGTACCATCAAACAGAGTGGGGTCCAGAGACTTTCTTTGCTTTCCTCGACCGAACACCCTCGACAGAGAGCCCAGACCCATCCTCTCTTTCTTCTTTCTGCGTCTCTGCTCCTCTAGATTCTCTAGAGACTGGAGACAGGGATAAAGAAAGAAATAAGCAATAGAAGCAAAGGTGATACATCAAAAATGAGCAGAGAAACTATTCTGTATCATGGCACAATGCATATGAAGGTTGTCATAATATCTTAATCTCAAAGTACAATAACAGCTAAAGAATCAGAATACCACTCAAGATGTGAAATGTGTTGAGTGCTCTGCTGTGGTTTGAAATTTAATTTATAGTTTAAATAGATTTTATTATTATTATTACGAGTCCCTAATTTTTTTGTTATTTTGTTATTGCAGATAAATTTTTTACTTAAATTTTAATAAGGAAATAATATTAGAGACCATGTAATGCAATACATTTTTAATAATAGTAACAATAATAATATTGCTAGAATTTTTGATTTGTATTAATTACAATATTGAATTATTACAAAATGATTACAAGTTAAATATTAATAATAATAATCCCTATATTGTTTTTGTTATTTTGTCATTGCAGATAAAATGTTTTACTTAAAATTTTTAATAAGGAAATAATATTAGAAACCATGTATGTAACACAATTAGGGCTGCAAAACGATTAATCGCGATTCGCACACATATATGAATATATTTTAAAAAAATATTTGTATGTATATATATTTATACTTGTATATAATTTTTATTATATAAAAATTGGTGCTGTCAAACAATTAATCACAATTAATCGCATCCAAAATATAAGTTTTTGTTTACATAGTATGTGTGTGTACTGTGTATATTTATTGTATGTATATGTATATATAATGTATATATAAATACACACACATGCATGTATATATTTAAGAAAATATGTTACGTTTATATATTAAATATATTTATATATAATATAAATTACATGAATATAAATATATACATGTAAAAAAAAAAAGTAAATATTTTCAAAATATATATGTGTGCGTATTTATACATACATAAATTTACACAGTACACACACATAAAAGTATGTTAAAAAAAACATTTGTTTTGAATGTTTTGCAGCCCTAAACACAATGCATTGTTAATAACAGTAACAATAATAATATTATTATAATTTTAGATTACAATTTATTGCAATATTTAATTAATAGAAGTATTAGAATTATTAAATGAATAATTTATAGAATTTTAATAATAATAATAATAATAATAATATAGTCCT